TAATATAGTAAGATTTGAAGTGGTACATGTATTAGTTAGAAGTACTTATACTAGTATCGTTGACCTTTTGTAATTTTTATTGATTCTCAATGTTTCATTTTCCTTTTATTGTCGGGGACAAAAATGCATCCTACAGCAATGAAAAGAAACTCTGACAGCAGCTTTCGTTAATTTTAACTCATTCTCAATGTCATTTATTGCCTTTTATTCTAGTATATTTAGTTCATTTTTGCTTTTGCAAGATTAAATTGTTTCTTCTTATGTTTTCTTTTATTACTATTTTTTTTTATGTTTAGTGAGCTATATTTTTTTTTCTAATGTGGCATTTTCATTTCTCACATTTACAACAAATCAAGAAAATTAAAAAGAACCCGGAAAAAAGGAACTTACCAAATGGAAGAAAATTTGATGAGCGTTTTTATAGATTAGAATCACGAAGATTCTTGTCCTTGCCGCATGTTCAGATCAATGTCAAATTCACTATCTCCATAATATTGATTTTAGCTCATAATTATAACTTCAAAAATTCACTATTGTATTGTAATTTTAGTTATATGTTCATTCTTTCATCTTCTTTTAGTTATTAATTTGGCGTTTATCACATTGTGAATATCACAGGAATAGTTCTAAAGTAGAATTCTCACATCACCTATATCCTCACACACACTTAAAATTGCTCAAATATGAATAGCGGATACATTAGAATTTATACACTAATGTAGCCTAACATTAAAGCAAGCAATTACTAATCTATTTTTTACTTAATTGAAAGTAGCTGCGATTTAAGCCACGTAGTAGCTGCGGAGAAGATGTTTCCCCGCCTAAAGTTAATGTAGAAACAAAAATTTATCAGAAGACAAACAATCCACAATAATCTATTTTTAGTCCCTAAACTCATGCTTACAAATTCGGAATAGCAACACAATCCTCACTGCTATTATGAATTTGGATTCCTTTAAGCAAGTTAATCAACATGATTATTTCATAAATTAGTTTCTAATTCAAATCTCAAAGAACTCCTAAAACAAAAAGAAATCTATTTTTTACTTATTGAAAGTAGCTGCGATTTAAGCCACATGGCAACTACGGATAAGATGTTTTCCCGCCTAAAGTTAATATAGAAACAAAAATTTATTAAAAGACAAACAATCCATGATAATCTATTTTTAGTTCCTAAGCTCATGCTTACAAATCTGGAACAGCAACACGATCTTCAGTGTTATCATGAATTTGGATTCCTTTAAGCAAGTCAATCAATGTGATTATTTCACAAATTAATTTCTAATTCAAATCCAAAAAAAACTCCAAAAACAAAAAGAAAAAAAGTTTTGATTACAATTCAAATTGTCAATTCATGTTTATGACTTTATAAGTGTATTTACATTTATTTTTCAATTATTATTATTATATCATAATAAATATATATTTTTTAAAGATGCATATTGTCTTATTTAATAGCGCTCGGGTAATGCCTCGGCTGAGAATCTAGTATCAATTAACTACTCTTGGGGGAACAAAAACTGAATTGCTTTTTGCAGTTATAAAAACTACTCATTTACAGTCGCTAGGACAATTTTGCCATTCTTCCTCCTATTTTCTCCTTTCTTCCTCCTCTTCCTCCTATTTCTTCTCATTTCTTGAAAAATATAATTATTGATCCTACTCATTTGAACAAACTATTTATTAAAAAAATATAAGCAATGACTAAAACGAATATAACAAGAATAATAACAATAATACAAATAATTAACCCTAAATTAAATTTTATTTACATAAACAATAATTACTGATGTTACTCATTTAAATTTAATTAAATTTTAAAAATATAAACAACAAATATTAATGCTACTCATTTAAAAGAACTAATTATTGAAAAATATAATAAATAACTAAAATGAATATAAAAAAAAAAATTGAAAAAAAAATTTTCTTGCTCGGCTACCTAAGGAGGACCGACCGGCCCGAAACTGGCTACTCAAGGAGAAGTAGCCGGCCCAAAACTGGCAACTCAAGGAAAACTAGCCGGTTTCAGGCCTGCTAGTCCTCATTGGGTAGCCGGCCCGAAACCGGCTATCTCTGGCAAGAATTTTTTTTAATTTTTTTTTCAATTTTTGTTTTTGTGTTATATTCATTTTAGTTATTTATTATATCTTTCAATAATTAGTTCTTTCAAATGAGTAGTATTAATCTTTGTTGTTTTTGTTTTTAAAATTTAATTAAATTCAAATGAGTAGTATTAGTAATTGTTATTTGTGTAAATAAAATTTAATCTAGTGTTAATTCTATTTTTGTGTTATTGTTATTATTCTTTTTATATTCTCTTTAGTTATTGATTATATTTTTTAATAATTGGTTCATTTAAATGAATAGATCAATAATTATATTTTTCAAGAATGGAGAAAAATAGGAGGAAGAGGAGGAAGAAAGGAGAAAATAGGAGGAAGACTGTAAATGAGTAATTTTTATAACTGTAAATAGTAATTCCCAAAAAAAACGTCGCTGAAATGGCATTTGAAGTCCGTTGATGATTTATAATTGTTGGCCAAACAAAATTAATTTAATAATATAATAGATACTATTATTAGTTCAGTTTATCTATTTGAAGGAAGCGGCAAATTTTGGTCTTATTCGGATCCAGGTATTTACGGATTGTGAAGTTCTATCACAGGATTTTCAATCTCTTTCGATGCCATCGGATTCACGAGAAGTCCTCTTACTTTTAAATACTTTAATTTCGTCTTTTGTTTTTTATACACTGACTAAAGTGAGTAAAAGGGATGTGGTAGAAATGCATAATTTAGCTTATAATTGTATGTGATGTAATATCTTAGGGTCTGTTTGATAAAAATTAATACTTAGTTCTGAATGCTTAATACTGAATAAGAAATACTGAATTCATAAATTAGTTACGGAATAAGCAATAAGTTAACTTTTATTGCTTATATTTTGTACTGCAGTTTCAGCACTACTTAATTCAATAAGAGATTAATTTTTATTATCAAACACCATTGTTAGTTTTAATCACACACCATCGTTATTTTCGTCCCTCGTCAGCGTTGACAATAATTATCCATGTTTCTCAAATTTATACTGTTCCACTTTCTAAGTCTTCCAAGATATCCGCAACTCACATCTTACTATATTAGAAACAAAAACCACACTTAAGAGAAAGCACCACCATTTGCCATGTGGCATTTCCACCTCATATTTTTAAAATAAATTTTTATTTACACATTAGTTTTCTAGACTTAAAAGACAAATGCAGTCCAAATCCACCTCCATCTCCTATTTTTGCCAAAAAAAAAAATTACGGATTCATAAAAACGACAAATCCTCATCCCCATCTCCACGACAATCGACTCCCTAATCAATCCATTCTCCACAATAAAAAAAAAAACAAATTCCTCATCAATCATCAACTGAGAATATGTGGTGAAATATACTCCTTTTCTATTAGCATGTTCAATCTTTTCATTAGTGATAATCAACTACATCCTAATGGAATAAAATTTTGACTTCAAGAAATATTCTCTTTACCTCTCTATATGTAGGGAAAAAAAAATTCCCATTGATCTTGCTTCGGCCGTTGTGGTGATGCCGTTACAGGTATTAAAATTTAAATGATTTTATTTCCACAAATCATTTGTTTGGCTTTTTTTATATATTATTTTTCCCGTTCAAGAATAGTGTTATTACTATTATTTTCATGCGACCACCCGTTACAGCTACCATAGCCGTTGCCAGGTAATGTGATGTGATTTCATATATGGTTAGTTAGCCTAGAATTTTTGTGTGATTTTAGTTTGTTTCGATTGAATTGATCAATTGGGTTTTTGTTACAAAGTGTGGGTTTTTTAATTTCTTTTTGATGTTTCATTCCATTAGAGTGATTTTCTTTTTTTTTTTAAATTATGGAGTCTTAGTTTTTTTTTTCGTATATGGTCAGTTTTGAGGTGTGTTTTTTTTTATTTAATTTCTTTTGATTTTGTTTCATACTCGCAGTTGACCAATTATTATTATTATTATTATTTTTGGCAAATGAAGTGCATTTTTTTTTTTGTGTCCGGGCTTTCAAGAATATACTTTTTTGGATTTGGTTTTTAAATTTTTTTGAGTTCATCATCATATAAATAATTCAGGTTGCTTCTTCTAACTAATTCATGGGAAAGTCTTTTATGAATTTGAGGTGGAGAGGGAAGAAATGATGTTTCTACGTTTATTTGTGTTTTTATATATTATTTTTACCTGCATGAAAAAATAATTTCTTAATTTTTAATGGGCTCTTTTACTTTTTTTTATTATTTTATTTGTCATGGTGAGGTGAATTCTTTTTTTGCTATAACTTGAAACCTATGCAAATTTAAATTAATTTTCATTCTCATATTTGTGATCAACCTGTTTAAACAATTAACCAGTTTCAAAACCATATTTTTGATATTTTACTACCTTTAAACCTTTGGAAGAAACAGTTCCAACAATTAAGCGTATACCCTTCGGAAGAAGCTTACTACAAAGCTATTATAAATCTCCTTTACTAAGTATTGATTTAGCACGACCAATGGAGAACATCAATAAATCATCTTGCTAATATTTAAATTCATTAAGATACTTTTATATTTTGTCTAACATTTACTTTAAGACATATATTTGATCAAGTTTATTTATATTTAATAAGTAACACTTATAAATCATTTCTAAGATCTTCAAACATTTTTAAAACGTAACGGGCCAAATACAATTTCTTTTTTTGCAAAACACAAACATTTCTATGATCACACTTATAAAATATTTCTAAATTCTTCGAACGTTTCTAAAATATATCGAGCCAAATACAAAATATTTTTTTTCAAATAAAAATATTTCTAATATCTAGAAATATACTGGGCCAGGGTCGCGCACTGCGCGACCAGACATCACTAGTATATAGAAGATAGAAGCAATATTGTTTCAAAATGCACTAATGAACAAAAAGTAAAGTACTACCATTTTCATCTTTGACTCAAAATTATAGAAACTTTTATTACATGCATTTGGCATAATACAAAGACAGAGGGCGAATTCTCCAGCCAAGTGATAATCGAACTTAACAATAAATAATCAGATAATATAGCCAAACTTAAATGCATAAACAATTCAGGCGGCGGACGGGTGAAGATCAAACACCTTAACGAGATAATATTCTCCTCGTCGCAGAATACACTACATTCCATGCTATCATCAAATATAAAGGAGGATTCTGGTGGAATATGCAGCGAAACCGTTTCGTACTCTCTCTTGGTCAGGTCATACAAGTATAGGGTTGATGGGTTGGTCTCCAAATCATAGCCAGTAATCAATGCCTTTCCACCCGGAAGAAAACCTTCAAAGCTGAGGAATTCAAAATTTTCAGTTGGAAGGTAGAAGTAGGGTTCATTTGCCCATATAAATCCAGAATTGTTTTTATCACTTCCACCACAACACCGGATAATGATCATCAATGGCTCTCCATGATGTGTCCTTACCAATGGTGAGAATCTCGCAAGAGTTCCAAATATTGGTAGAATTTCTAAGCAGCTTGTACACTTTATTCAAAGGATCAAACCCGAAAGAGTAACGATAAAGCTCATGAATTTGAGACACTTTTGTAGTCGACACAGGGAGGTTCATTCTTTCACCTGTAGCAATGTTGAACAGGAACGGTGGCATATTATAACTATACCACCACGTCCTTATATCATCACAACAAAAACACACGAGGCCATTCGCAACTTGGGTGTGAACCCAATTTCGACCCGCACAATCGACTTGGAAGCGATAACGAAGTTCGGTGGAGGGACTGTCCAGGCTCACATGGAAGAAGCAGTATTTCTTAACCTCTCTTGGAGAAAACAAGGCCTCGGAAACCACCGTGGTAGGTTTTCGCAAACGACGGATCTGTGATCATTGATAGCAATAACTTGCAAACACGCTTGAATTTCATCGGTGATTTTACAGGAAGCCATGATAAGATTTCCAAGATCAATTCTTGGGGGAAGACTTGTCCATGAATATGATGAAGGTGGAGACACCTTGAACCAACTTGGATCGATGTGTAGGTCAAGGCTTTAGTAAAACATCACCATTAATTGCTGCGAACAACTAATATATTACAATAGATGAAATATATTAATTAAAAATTCCGGGGAAAAAAACACACTGAAAAAAACTAATCAAAAAAGGTTCCTGATTTTCATCCTTCCAGTTCAGAGGAGAGCCATATTACATTTGGTATCTGTGGGTCAGAACGTGCTAGCTGGTGGGCCAATAATACAATGGAAGATTTTAATTTTTAAGAATGTAAACAAATTCTTGATTCTTCCCCGCAAATGAAAATTGAGATATATTCTCACTAGTTAACATCTTCTATGAAACAGATTTTTTACATGCTATACTTGTACCAATCCAAAGGTAAAGAAAAACTAATAATAAACTGTACAAGAAAGTACTACAATATCACTTTTTCTTTTTGTCTTCTTTACATCTTTCAACAAGTACTGGTGCAGCAGGTATGCTGAACCACCATTCCCTAAATCTTCTTGTCCATTTTTCTGTGCTTGCTCTCCGGATCGGCGAGTATCTAGTAAAGGTTTCCAAAAAGGCTAACAATAGAATGTATTTACCAGGTAAGAATGCTACTACCAAAGCCATCATAAGTAAAGCAGCTGCCAATTTCTCACTTGCCTGAACATTTGACAGAAATAATGCATATTTAGGACGGAAATACCAACAAGTTCAATGTTAAGAACATCACAGTAAATGCAAAATACAGAGATAAGTACAAATATACAAAACATTCAGCGGTCTGGTGAACCGAACCTGAGGAAAAGTGGCCAAAAGCAGGCCCCGTAACTTGAGAAGACAAATATTCCCATCCTGGATTACCTCTTCTGCTTGTGATATTACAGTTTGAACAGCCAACAGCTGCTCCACTGCATTTTTTGCGGGTGGAGCTGTCACCCTCAGTTCATCTACAGACCTGCCTTGGTTGAACCACCGGGTAAGGACCAGAAAAACAGCAAAAAAGACTAGTAGTAGCGCACAGGTGTAGCCAAGCCAACCCCTGCTAGAAACAAAACAACAGCAATGTATCAGTATTTATCATAAGCAGCGTCCTAATAAGAAGAGACACTTGGTGCCTCCCACTGCTTTCAAATGAAATCTCAAATTTTCACCCCTGTAAAACGATTATTTGAAATTTTTGTTACCAAAGCCAAAAGTAGTCAAATAATAAATGCTTGTAGAGTAACAACTCAAGGCAAGACTTGTTCACATACAAAAGTTATCTCTACCCGTTGACTTTGTTTTAGAAGGATATTTAATAAGAGATCAAACAAATACACACCGAACTTATTGGAAATATATTGAGTCCACACTTAAGTTACCACGAAGAGATGTTTCATAAAAAGGACACTAAAAAAGTATTTAATCGTCTCAGGGTGGAAGAAAGTTGTTTTAGGTATCAGTGTTTTTCAAAAAGCCGTACCCTGGACACCAGCTTTAGCAATCAAAATTGGAGAGAACTTCATTACCTCCAGATGATAAATGTGAAAGCCAAACAGAATGCTATGGATTTCCACGGGTATTCCCAGTATGCTAGAGATTGGAGCCAATTTCCAACTTCTACCAGAGGAGATAGCAGCTCCTGCAAACATATTATGGACATTAAAGCTCATAAAATGTAAAAAAGAAGAGTTGTGAACAGAAGAGTAACATAGACAACACGTGCATTCTTTCAACAAAATAAGTACATCATCCTTAACATCTTATGCACAAAACCAAACAGAAATGCCACACATTAATATTCACAGAGATAGAGGCTAAACTCAATCTGAGTTAACTAAATATTTGGAAGTTGCAGCTGGTATCATTTTTCCACAGACACACACATGAACAAAGAAGAAAATTAAAACCACAGGAGTCATACCATCATCACAGCCAAGTTGGTGTCAATTCCATCAACTTTAACCCCATCAACTTTAGCCCGTGCATCCACCACTTTCTTGTGGGTACTTCTACATTCCACCACTACTTTCTCCAATGGGGTCATTTCACCAACAGCGATTTCACCAACAAGAAGACCGGCTGAACTACCAATGCTAGAACTTGCGCCAAACATAAACCCCAGTGTAGAGGCCATGGCTGAAGCAGAAACAGAGTACATCCTGCCTTTAGATCTAGGGGAGTTAGTTCGATCTAGCTCCCGTGTGGTTGACATTTCAGCGAGTGTTTCAAGTATGAGATCTCCACCAGGAAGCTCATCGCAAATGTTGAACATAAGAAGAGAATTAAAAGACAGAGGGACTGTCAAGCTAAGATCCTTCAAAGCCTGTACTCGCAAAATTCCAAATATAGCTTTCAGAAGGGCTTCATCTCGCTGAATTCCAGTGATTTGGAACTTGTGGATAAATCTGTGGGCATATAAAACTTCTTGAATGATGGCAAGCCAGTAATCACGGCGTGTGTGTCCTTTCAGCTCAGGAAGCTCCATAATAACAGGTTCTGATCTAAAATTTAAAATGTTTAGCAGATTTTAGAGAACAATACTAAGAATAAGGAAAGCTTGCCAGTAACGGAAAACTTTAAGCATCTATTCTTTCAATTATAACCTATCCCAAAACGATGGGATGACATCATCTCCTTACATAGATATTGATTTGTACAAGAATGCCTTGTCAAAGAGCCGGGTTCCCCATGGACCTGTAAGTTCAGGTCTAACAACCTGTTTTAAATCATCAGATAAATCATATGCTTTTGGCTTGTCATAGGAAACAACACGAAGAGCTTCAAAGTAGAGAGCATGATCGGTCAGAATTAATCGACCTGCAAACACGAGTATGGGGAATTAGAAAAGCAGATTGATGTTGCAATATAGAGATTCTCCAGACTCCATACATCATATCCAAAGTTAAAGTACCAAAAGATCATAAGCGAGTCACTCACCAGGCCAAGTAGAAATCCCAACATGTTCAAGAACTGGCTGGCTGGTAACTGTCCCATCCACTTCCAGTATCTTCTCTCCTCTTGCAGATCGTTGACTAGAGAGGAGTGAGGACTCAGATTGAGTCTTTAATTTTCTTATCGCCCTGCACGTTAAAAATTTCAAGGTAAGAACCTTGAAAAAAGACTAAACTACTATGTTTTGTTCTACGATCTTGACAGAATACTGAAGTTGGTGTCATATCCATCATGCCAATTCTCACACCACATCAAGTTTTTGTTCTAGATCGCTCTCTAACAGGTGACAAGTCATCACAGATAGATAATGCAACAAAAAAAGCCAAGGAAAGACAATCTCGAGCAGAGAAAAGAATAGAAAGCATCCAGGTTAGGGGGGACCCCAACATGGTATATATAACCTTTTAAGATAAGAAACATCCAATTGATGCACATCTTAGAGGTCCCCATATAAACAAAAATCCCATAGGACTTAAGGCTAACCTGGGAGGCTTTTCAGTGATAAAAGACTAGAGAAGATGGATGAACAAAATTAAGTAACGAGAAGAAAAAAGAAAAAGATAACTGATAGAGAATGGTGTCCCAGACTGAAAATGCTTAATAAAATATATAAATATTGACTTCTGCCCTTTTGTTCAGAATAATTTGACAACATGGAGCAATAATAACAGTATTTGGAAGAACCTCAACAAGGTAGAACAACCAACATGAAAACTTAATAATGCACATGATTATTGGGCTATGCTTATCTTTTATGTATATAATAAAATGGACGTTTTCTTTTTTTTTCTTTATTTGATAGAGCAGTACAGATACCTTTCTAGTGCACTTAGGTACTTATCATAGACTGAAAATTGCAGTCTGCCACCAGTTGATGCAGTAAGCACCTCAAAAAGGTTATCGCAAACGACTACATCAGCCATGATCGGAACTGCTGGAGCTATTCGGGAGAAAGCCTCCAAGGCTACAGAAACATCCTCATCCATCTGCTACAAAAACATTAATGAAACCACCACAGTAGATTAATTTCAATGTACACAGATGAGGAACACCTTTTATTTAAATATGCATATTTCAATTCTTAAAGAAAGAACGTGAGCAAAATATGAGAAATATGGGAGATTATTCAATTCAGAGCCTTCTGCTCAGGAAATTATAAAGATAATTAAACAAAAATTTTCACTCACGTTAAGAAGAGGTTGGCTGGAAGCCGCTGGGGTTTCCCAGGCAACCATCATATCAAATGTAAGGCGCCGAAATTTTTTGTCTTCTAGGTATCCAGTGACTTGGGTGGACAACGCAAGAGCCCTGAAGCAACAGTATTCCAAAAAGTTCCGCGCATACTTGGCTGGAATCTTCAACGCATCAGAAGCTTCTTCCTCAAAATTTTCTCTCAGTTGTTCCATAGCAACACCAAGGATTCTATAGAAAAACAATTTCATTTAGACGAGATTCATGAGTATCATCAAATGACTTTCAACAATATCTTACAGCAGACAACCAGAAGAGTATTTTGAACTTCATACAGTATATCAAACTGAATGCCAGAAATGCGCTTTACCTCTTCTTATAACAACAAGATCAACTAAACCTTTATCCTAGGATGTGATCGGCTATATGGGTCATATTGCCATCAGGCTTCCATGATCACTATTTTCATTCTTATTGAAGTAATCGTGTCTTTCTTGACAAAATGTTTTAGAGTTTCTTTCCAATTATTTTCAGGTCTTCCCCTTTTTAATTTGTGTTAATGATGAATATTTTCTACTCGTCTTATTGTGCTTTCTAAATGTCTCTTCCACACATGTTTAAACCATCTTAAATGTGATTCTCTCAGGTCTCATTTGCTATCTCACTTTCCTTCTAATGCATTTATTATTAATCTATCTTCTAATCTACTGCACTTGCACATCTCTCACAACATTTCTAATGACTTCGTTTCAATTGTAGTGGCCTTGAAATTTAATTTTTAAAGCATAGTTGGTCAGGTGACAGTTCCATAGCACTCCTTTCAATTTCAACTGGTTTAACACCTTAATATACCCTTTGCTAACTACAAGCATAACTAAGAATCATAGAATCAAATTGAACATTTTAACGATGGTAGAAGCATAACTGCTGCATTCAAATTGGACGCAGAGAAGGTATCGAGATTAGACAGCACAAGAAATGGATGAACAAACATACTTTGAGCATCTACGGACCACCACATTCGCCACAGGAGAAAGTTCTGGTAACCAGTTCTTCCCAGCTGACGGCGATCTTCCCATCTCCTCAATCTCTTCATCATATGCACTACGTGTTTTGGTCAGCCATCTAAAGGATCCTTCCTTGACCAATCCCTCAAGCATATTTCGAGTTTTATTAACCATAGCCATTGGAACAAAACCACCGCAGTCCTCAAAAGACGGAATTGTAATTCATTGATGACCTACCAAATCATAACAACATCTCATCTCAGTGAATCAATGATCCTTGAAAACCACCTCATAAGTAAGCAAATAACCAATAACTTAAAACTAAAAGGACAAGATTCTTTTCCCACCAATAGATATTTAAGAATAGATCAAATCCATCACAATCACTAGAACAGATTCCAAATTAAACTTACTCCTCAACAACCAAGTAGCGAATGATAACTGTCAAAAGTATAACGATTATTTACAGTTTCTTCACATTAATCCAGTTAAAACAACTCGTAACACAAGTTAAAAAAGTGTATATTAACCAGTATAACAACAATAATCAAAACCGCACCAATAAATTAACAGTTAGAACTGGGGATTTAGGAATAGAACTTACCAGAGAAAATGAATCACAATGAAAAGAACCCCTCAATCGAGATCACCATGAAGAATTAAGCTCTTTGCTGCAAAACCCAAGTCTTCAATTTCAGTAAAGCATCAATCTTTGCAGGAAATGGACACTGAAATTCGAAAGATTCTATCGTGCTGTTTAAGGTTTCGTTAACACCAGTTTGAAGTTCTTCGTTTTAACAATTCCTACTGCTATGTATAATAAAGTTTTGGAAAGAAAAAAAAAAAAGGGGAAAATTACAAAAGAAAGAAAATAAATAATAAAGGTAGTCAATGTGGGAAAAGAAAGGAGCGACACGAAGCAGTGAACTATTTTGCGGGATTGTGTACTTACTTTGAGCATTTTCTTTCTTTTGTGATTATCAAACAAAATTAAATAATAAAAATTTATTTTTGGTGTTATACCATGAATAGCTTGTATCGATGATGAAGAAAACTTTGTCATAATGTTTCCTCCGTCCCATTTTAATGTTGTCACTCGTTACATTACTTATATATTTTTCTACTTGAAATTTGACCTAAAAATTATTTTTATCCAAAGCAGACTGTTACTAACTTTTAACAAATCCCTTATTTATAAAATGTATTTTCCTGTTGAGTTGGAAATGGAGCGGGTGGTACCAAATATTATATGCTCCCAATAACATTATTCAATCATCGACTTTTCAATTTTATATATTTATAGCTTTAAATTTTTTCTTATGTTACGCTGTATGTATTACAGGTGTAAATACTTGGCAAGTGCATGTTGTTTTTCTTACTTTTTATTGCGTTTTTCCTCGTTTATTCTTCTACCTTGTTTTGGAATTAATCCCCTAATAACAGCCTAACTCAACTATTTTCACTGTCAAATGATCAATCAGTCAATCGTAAATACTTATTTTTGCCACTTAATATATACTGTTCTGTCTATCAAACTCCAAGACTGACAAGGCCAAAACCCAATTGGAAATGAAGTCTCATTATCTCATGGTGGGCTGCTTATGATTGGAATTTGGAGAAAGCTCTTGACTAAATTACATATTCATTCTTTAGATTATTATCCCTTTTCACATGGGCTGTGAGTTAGGATGTAGAAAGCAGTATATCAGCTTATAGCTAAATTAAGCCCATCTAAATTCTAGAGTGATCTAAACTACCAATTTTTTGGAACCAGGTATTCTTGAAGCATCTAATCCTCTAAGGTCCGATTTGGTCTTTTCTTAATTTGTTGGTACAAAGCAGGATGCCGGAGATTGACTGAAAAAATTAAATTAAGACATTTCGTGGATAGGAGACACCAATAACATCGTGTTCTAACCACATTTTCACCATGAATGGTGGAATCTCAATCCGATGCAAGCCTACCGGATAGCTTGTTGATAAGGAAGTCATGTAATTTGCATAAAATTCGCCTCACGAAAAATATGAATAATCTCCACGAAAAATAACTTATTGATGAATCGAGATTGGTCCGATTTGGTCTTTTTAAATGTGTTCAAGTGCTTTTGATTTTTCTTTTCTTTTCTTTTTCTCAGTTTTTGCATAGTTAAAACGTAAAGAAATTATATAATTTAAAATATTCAAATTTTAGCGGATAATTTATATACCGATCGAACACGATAACAATAGAGGATCCTTATAGTCGATCCCACCTAATGAAAAAATAAAAACCTTATTGTAGATATTGTTTTGCATGGTTAAGTTTGTTTCATGGATCTTACCCATCTTTTGAGGTTTGATTTTGAACCCTTTTTTTCCATCTGAGAAAACTAGCACAATAGTCGATCCCTTCAACCAAAAATTGTAGCCTTTGACGGTTGAAACTTATAACCGACTCTTCCCCTAAACCAAAACCTATTAACGTTAATCATATGAATTCAATGCACAAGAACTCAAGAAATGCCAAATTATGTTTTAAGCGCCTACCTTCTTGTTATCTTAGAATAATCTCTCCTCATTATTTTCATATATCATGACATTTATCATTGTCGCCGATCGACTGGGGACTGGCATTATGCATGGCCAAATTCTAGTAAGATTTTTTGTTAAATCCAGTCCCCGATGGTTGCTGGCTAGCGGCAACTATAGAGATAGAAGATAGGAATCTACTGTTTGATTAAATAGTTAAATGGGTTATTTCAAAATGATTGCAAAACTTATCAAATTGCATAATCTCTCTGTCTCAAAATTATTGTCCAATTTGAAATTTTACTTTTAATACAATATGAACTAGAAATGAAAATCTAAACTGGATAATAATTATGGGATGGAGAAAGTACTTGAGAAAACGAAGGTATTAAAATACTAAATTCGTACACTTCTTCTTTTCCTTTTTGTTTTGGGGTGGGGAACTACACCATAGCACTTAAGTATGTACTTTTCCTTCCATTCCAATAATGTATAGTGGACCTATAGAACACAAATCAAATGGAAATCATCACTCAAAAATACTGTACTAGCTAGCGGAATCCATTGCCACCAAATCCATAATTGTCAATGGCACCCCCAAAAAAAAATGGACAGAAATAATTCAACAGTGACATCAGAACAGCAAATTTAGGGTTCTTGGAGTACTTTTCATGACATACGCGGATTAGTGACTACTGAGTGCTGATCGAGTTAACAGTGATTTTTCAACTAACCAAAAAAAAAAAGAAAAAAAGAAAAAACACATAATATAAAGAAGTATTAGTATCTTTGTTATCTACTACTTAATATAATCAAAATTAGGTCAAGTGTTTGTCATTTGTGACAACAAAAGCGTCTTTTGAATATTATCTTTAATCGATCGGTTTCGAGACTTTGTTAGTTTAAAAAAAGAAAGATTTGTCCATTTTAGCACTCAACATCCGACAACAAATGAAGTTATTAATATGTAAAGCATTATAAAAATCACTTTGGTTTGATCCTCGTACAATCTGCGGCTAGGTAACGCAATCAACAGTTCAATTACAAGAATTGTGTGCATGAACCATATACCAGGTTAGGGAATGTAAAATACTTTAATATATACTTAGCTAGCCACTTTTCTTCTTGTTGTGGTGTTATTTTCTTCGTATTAAATTTGGTTATTCTAATATGATTAATGTCTCGTGTATTAGCTTCACCAACTGATTGGTACGTATCATAATCAAGTCAAGCTAGTATCAAAGCTCTATTTTAATTAGAGTCGTAACAAGTTTGATGCAATGATTGGGTCAGTTTTGTCTCAAGCTTAACTTGTCTCTTATTATTGGAAATTAATTTATAAACGCACCACAATTATACAACAAAATAATTTACCAATCGTGCATAAGATGAGTGCATCTGTAACCCTCCACTCGTGAAAGCTAGAATATAGCTATTAAGAACGAACATTTGTTTGAACGAGGATTGATGTTTAATTATGAACAGTTCGATAATATTAGGGTTTTGATTTTCATTACTGTCACTTTCATTCTAAAGCACGTTGTAATCACTTTTATGTCTATGCATGTGTGGTGTTCATTGAGTAAATGGAAATCCTATAGTGTAATTGACTAAGTGGTTAAAATGAAGATTGTAAGCGCAAAATTGACCAACAATCTCAGCTCCTAATTCAACCAAGTCTATACATTTTGCTTCACATTTTTTTTTTGAAATCATGAAGTAAGAGAGCTGGTATAAGGTAGGACAAAAGATGAGATTGAAGACAGATTAACTAACCTTCAGCATCTTTCAAAGGGTTCATGATAAATTGAAAGTGTTGGATCCTTGAACTTGCCCATATTAGTTACTCACATTCTGTCGACCCAAAACCCACCTACTGGCGCCAATGTCTGGAAAGTGCATGTGTGATCCTAAATCTATATTGGAAGTGTGACTATATCCATTTTGTTTGTATTTGGGACCCATTATCCCTTTGTTACATTCATGCTCCAAGAACTAGGCTAAGAAAACTAGTCAAAAGGGAGTCTATCGGAGGGATAGATTGAGGCCGAAGAGAGGAACAAAAGTGGCTTCAAAGGTTCATCCATACTAATCTGCCCTTATCAGGAATGGATAGCATTGAGTCGTTTTTGGGGTTGTTTAGGTTCCTTTCAATCATAGATGTTTGATTATTACCACTGTTGATATGTGTTATCACAAAAATCATAAAATACTATTTCGTTGTTACTGATTTCATATTATTTTATTCTCTTTGGTCGTAGAAAATTAGTTTTGTTAAATGGATAAGACTACGCAAAATTGGCCTTTTAGAAACGAAGAGAAATGTTTGAAAACCCTAATAACAACTACTAATACACTTATATATAATGTCTCAATTAAAGTAATTTTGAAACGAATAGTTTATTTTGTTGAAAACAATTTAATGATCGTAAGTGAGCCATAATCTTTTCTCAACATAACATGCATAGCATTTTTACAACGGTAAGATTACGAGAACCCATGGACATTTTTGCACATTGCCCCATCCGCTTTAGGGCATACTTTGGCCCATTCAAGCTGTCTTCCTCCCCGTTCCCTCAATACCAAGAATGCATTGAATCTACACAAAAATTCCTTTATACAAAATTTTTCAGAACCCCACTAATTATTTCAAAAGAAGAAAAATCAATAAAATAAAATAAAATAAGCCAAGCCATTTCTCATTCCAAAACTTTCCCCTCTCAATCATGCACTAAATGAATAGGCAACATCTCTTAGATCTTGTGTATCCATCTATTTTGTGGGTTCCATTTTTTGGCTTTCATTTGGCCGACGTGGATTTGTCAAGTGTTTATTGTTACCAAAAAAACTAATTAAAATAATTGTTAAAAAATAGTGAAAGTGTTCGTCCCTTGAATTGACACTCAAATTGATCACCATTGAATCAAGACATTATATATTTTATTTTTTATTTTTTAGTGCTTTAAGATAAGAGCTGTTTGATAACATCACAACAACTAACAGGGATTTTTCTTTCCCACAAGTTGTTGTTAGCTAGCTTGTGATGGAATTTGGTTTTATGATCGGGTCCCTACTCATCATAATTTTTCGGATATTAATTCCAATCTCTATCTATTTTACTGTTCATCTTCATCAATTGCTCTCTAATATTTGTCACCATTTCAGTCCATATATATAAACAAAATTCATTATTGAGCTTGCTCTACAGTAATCCGATGTTACGTTTAAATGATATGCCGACCTACTCACCATTTGTCTTTCTTTTTTAGATGCTTTAGATTTTTCAATAATTTCAAGTTAAATTTTTTTCTTTTGAAATGATACCTAGCACCAATGTCATTAATTAATGTACATAAAAGTGAATATGGCTTACCTCAAAAAGAAAAGGATCATCACCATGTTACGAGAATCATGTAAAACCAACAATTCCACATGGGTATAAATCAAATCCGCATTTGGTTTTGAGGGATAATATTTACACATAGGTTACCACCTTAATTAACAAGGGAAAAACAAATATTTTTGCCACAATTTGAAAATTCTACAAAAAGATAAATAAAGATCATGCTATCTTTTTCTCCCAAAAAAAGCTTGAGATTCTTTTGGGCAAATATCGCAAAAGAGGAGAAAACAAAAGGTCAATTACATCTATCTAGATCGAAGTCTAATGAAAATCATGAACCAAAGCATTTTTTTTTTTTTTGGCTAAGTGGCCATGGTTAGTTTTTGCTAGTGGCCAAAACTCCAAATGGTAAATGTCATGGACTATTATGTGAAGAATGTCCCACACTTAATGGCAAAAGACTATTGAAAATCTTAAGCCAATAAAGTAACTTTGGAGTATGCACTTAACACTTTGTAAGTGAACCCATTATTATTATAGTATTAATCAAGTCACCATATGTTTAATCACACTTTGTAATATTGGAGGCAAGATTGTCAGATAGATGAACAACTTGTCGGGAACCAACCCTTCAAATGAGTCTAATAATGACTGATCAACAACAAAATTTGGGAAATTAACAAATATGTATCTTTTTTGTATACAAAACAAATTGAATTACACAAAATTCTTTGGTTATTTTGGCTAATTGCATACAAGTATGATTTTCCAATCACCTCTCTTTTTCTTTTCTTTTTTTTTTTCTTTCTTTTTTTTTTTTTTTGTCTAAAATGAAATCCACTAGAATCATCAAGTGGGACAATTTTTGTTTTTGCTTTTAACGTTTCTTCACTCATCTTCTTGTACATGTTGCTAAGGGCTAGTGGGACGAATTTGATTAGGTAAAGGGTTGAGCACTCTAAATCATAATCATGTGTTGTGTGGCAATGGTGGGTAGTAACATCCAAAATTCTGGTCAAACTGTCCAATTTGTTGAGTAGAACCAACTCCATCCCGTTCTTCCTTCATTATTTTTTGCATCTTCATTGCCTCAATTGCCTTTGCTCTCTGTTTCGTACCCAACAAAATCAAAGTCTTATTTAATCATCATTCGTAGTAATACCTGGACAATAATTTGGGACGAGAAAGTATATTTTGTGAAAATACCTGAATGATATCGATAATATCTGTTTCTCCGTTGAAATTGTACGTGTTGCTTGCGGCTGTGAGTTTCATCGACAAGAACTGAACACAAAAAAAAACACATAACATGGATCAGTTTTCTGACATTTTTCCGGTCTACAATTAGACATCAAATCGCTTTGATTAGTCTCAAATTCTCACCTCAACCTGGTTTTGTAACGACTGAACATAGTTAATGATTTCGTCCAACATCACTGCCATTCCCATTGTCTGCAAAATTCACATAGTATAACATTGCATTTTTTCAGTACTGACAAAAAAAAAAAAAAAAAACCAATCATTTCAAGAACTGAATTTGAATTTAATCAAAAAAACCAAATTAGCATATGTATATACCTTTTGGCAACCTGGAACAATGTCTTGCAAGCACCTAAGTCGCTCATTGATTTTCCCTCTTCTGACCCTTTCTGCTAAACTGTGACTATCAGTAGCTTGGCCTCTTTTAGCTCTAACATGAACCACTTCTTTCGATTTCTCGTCTCCGTTCTGATCGTTGGTTTTTGCCCTTTTCCCTCTTCCTGAACTCTACAATTATAATCATACCAAGAAAGAAAAAAAAAAAGAAAAGAAAAGCTCATTTAGTATTGCATCAAAGCAGAGGAAATTTATTTCTAAAGCTAAAGGAGATGAACAATGATGATAAAGCATACATTTTTCCTTGTAATTCCACTTTCAGAAACTGGAGGAGATGAATTAGCAGAACTGCTTTCTGCTGGATTACTGTGCATTGATTTCCTCTTCTTCTCAATATCATGGTTGACTTGTTCTTGATGATGATGATCATTGTTAACAGAGGAGCTGTTGTTGTTGTTAGGCTCAGTAATCGAAATCCCGCCTCCGATATTCCTGATCAATTCTCCAGGGAAAATTACAGGGAAATTGTCTGCGAGAATTCCAGGGAATTGATCATGCAGAATCACTTGGTTGATGAAATTGTCCGGAGAGAATCCCACCAGCGGACTAGTGCTCTGCTGCTGCATACTGAAGCAATTCGAGGTGCTTTGGTCCATCATTCCTCCTGGATTGAAGTCTGGAAATGGACTACTCATCAGAGTTTCCATGGTTTGATCAAATTCACACACTGAAAGTGATGATGGTAATTTAAGGTTTTGCAACTCTGAATTGAAGTGATGATGGTAGTAAGCCATTGAATAATTATTTTGCAGCGGTAAAGAAGAGTGCCAATGTTTGTGTGAAAGTGTTGACTGTTCTTTTTTGGGTGTCATATGTCTTACTGGCTTAAATATATAGAGGGAAACTGGAAAATTGTTGCTTTTTTTTTTGGTCTTTTAGTGTATTTTAATGTTTCTTTTTCTAGCCCTCTCTGCTTAAAAAAATAAAATTAGGATATGGGAAAATTATAGCGTTTGGTAAAGCCACGTGGCAATTTGGGCTTCTATGCTTGTGTTCCCTTGGTGGGGCTCGCTTCAGGGGATATACATCCAATTTATATGGACCCATCATTTTCTTATTACTTTTGGTCTTTCGACCTCTTTGGTTTTGGTTTGGAACTTTGGATGTCAAATAAAGTATTAATAAACACAATGACTCTTTCTTGGTTTAGCTTTAGCCAAGGCTCTATTTTTCCCAAGAATTATTGGAGTTTTGCATCAGCTTTTGTTGATGGACAATGAGAAATACAGTGATTTGAGACAACGATAAAGTAAATGATGTGTTACATTTATAAAAATATATATAGTTTAGTCATGATTTTATAGAGGGTATAATTAATGATTTTATCTGAATTTAGAATGAGAAATATATGCATGAAGAAGTTATAATCAAAGGTTTGGAGTTTTTGATGTTACATTTACCATACCAGGATTTTTTTTAAAAGAAAAAAAAAATTGGATGGTCCCTGCAAGAATCGAACCCTCGATCTACTGGTAATAACTATCCTCCATTCTTACCATATCAAGATTATCTAGTTGAACATACTCTCTCTCTAAACCTCGAGTATAAAGAGCTCTTCTCCTAACCCCATCTTCGATCTATTACCTTCTTCCAACAGCCAAATAATTCCTTTTTGTTTCCAAATTATCCCTCAATTTTAATCTGATTCTTGTCTTTACCAAAACCAATTTAATCGTTAGTGCATTAGAAATCATCCATTGAATGGAGGTCAAACTTTCTTCTTAATAAATGGAGTCCCAATCAAGTGTCAACCAAAATCGCACCAACTCTCTAATTGGGCTTTTAGTCGATTACAGAAGTTTTAGCCCGGAAAAGATCCAAAATCATTTCAGATCTATCTGGAGTTTTAAAGCATCAATCAAGCATAAAGATAGTAACTTGTATGTGGTACACTTTCCCAAAAGGGAACATTTGCTGAAGGTTCTCTAGAAAGGAATTTTTTCAATTGATGGAGCGCTTCTAGTTTTCTATCAAAGAAATCAAGATAACGGTTATGGAGACCTACGGGCGATACAGATTTCTATTCGGGTCTGTTTCTCCGGCATACCATTGAAGTGTCTCAGTAACAACATCGAGAGGTCTCTCGCCTCTAGGATTGGAAAAGTGGAGGAAGTGTCAACTAAATTTTGGACATCAAGGCAAGACGGCCTAGTGCAAGCAACAGTACGGGTTTGGTTAACAGATTCTCTTCTTCCTAGGTTTCATTTTCAACTTCCTAATCACGGTGATGTTTGGATAAAGTGCACATATGAGAAATAGTATAAAATTTGTAAGAGATGCAGACTTTTGGGGCATCCCTCGACGCACTGTAAATCCATGAAAGCTTTTGTCACAAACAGTCATATCGACGGTGCTACCGCCGGTATGGGTTGCGGGAATTCTATTAGGCAACATCATGTCAGCAATCCGACAAGCGGCCCAACACGTGACTTCGAAGCAAGCATTTCTTTGGGTGAAGGATTGGGTCGAATGAAGAGTGGACACCTGTCCGTGGCAACAAAAAGAAAGCGGCCTCTAGAAACTTCAGGTGAGATGGATAATTGGGACGCAAGTAAATACACTTATTGTGGGCCATATAAAAAGTTAAAAACATGGGCACATGAAATGGGCCTGCACAGGAGAATGAATTGGGTGGACTTATCACAACCCACCATTGAAAATGTGGCAGCCCATAATGATGTGCTGCTTCAACAATTCAACTCTCATGGATTAAAAAGAAAGAAAGCTGGAGTACTAAAAACGTCAAAATAAGTTGGTGCTGAAAATGTTCAATATAACAGACTTAGAAGGGAGCAGAACGCATCAGGGGCAACCTTACTGTTTCGTCATACACTCAAGCTGACACAGAGGATCACATGAAGGAAACGTGAAATTAGGGAAGATGACATTAGTATAGGGATTTCGAAAAGACCAAGAATCGCTCAAGATGAAATTATAGGGAGAGGACGACTAAGGCAGAAGGGAGTCGAAAGAGGCACAATCCATAAAAGACTGCGGGAAGAGGATCAAGGCATAATAATGTTGGTTTCTCTTACAGCCTCTAATAAACACAAAAAGCAATGTTTCATGGAAAAGGAAAAAGTGTCAAGGAGAAATTTCTAGCTGCTGGGTTGCATGATCAATTGGAATATGTGGCAAGCCAACTACAAGTGGTCCAAGACAGAACAACTGCATGTGCATAAGTTTCAACTCTAGAGGGTTTTTCAGTGGTAGAACCAAATCAACCACCCAAACAGCCATGAGAACAATTTCATGGAACTGCAGGGGACTTAATCGTTCACCTGCAGTAAAAACATTGTAAAGGTTAGACAAATTGCATTAGCCAAATTTTTTATTTTGTAAGAATTGTTGATTACTGAATCTGCTGTTATGCGTTGGGTTAGTAGTACTAGTTTTTGTGATTGTCTGATTGCATCATCTGGTAACTTAAATGGTAGAATTGGCCTCTTTTGGACTGGTAATGTAAATATTGAAGTACTAAGTAGTAGTAGTTCTTTAGTAGCATGAAGTATTAAGGAAGCAAATGGTACTTGTTAGGGTGCACTTTTTGATTATGGGCAGCCAAATGCAGCCCTCCGATCAGAAACGTGGAATGAAATTAAGGCTGTTGTCTCTAGTTACTCATTGCCATGGCTATGGATAGAAGATTTCAATCAAGTAATTTACCCAGAAGATAAAAGAGGGGGATTGGCAATTAGAAGCACTAATGCAGACCAACTTTTAAGTCTGCTGCAAGCTTTTGATATGTCTGAGATTATTACTAGAGGAAATTGTTTTACATGGACGAACAACTGGAAGGGACAAGCAAGAATAATCGAAAAGCTGGATCGTGCTTTTGCGAACTCAGAATGGAAGCTGCAGTTCCTTCAGTCTCATGTTCTAAATCTTCCAATAACAACATTGGATCATGGTCCTATTTTGTTATGCATGGAGGGAGATGTAACTAGGAGTAGAATAAAACCAAAGTTTGAGGCTTTTTGGTATAAACAAGAAGCTGCCACAGCCATCCTGACCAAATTATGGTCCCAAGATAATCAGACTGAAACTCCACAACTGATAGGGCCCTCAGTAAGCAGTAAAGTAAGTACTCTTTTAGACATCAGCCTTAAACACTTGTCCAACTGGAATAGAACAACTTTTGGGGATTTGGATAGACAGATAAAGGCCTGCATAAACAAGTTAACCAACCTTCAATTTGAGGAAGGAATCCTACAAAATGAGAAAGAAATAGATGAGGTAAAAATGCAGCTAGAGAGATTATTGACTTTCCAAAGTGATTATTGGAAGCAAAGGGTTAAGGCGAAGTGGAGCCTTAAAGGGGACAAGAATACGAAATTCTTTCACTCGTGGGCGCAAAAATGAAAGGGAATAAATTGGGTAACAAGGCTCAAGGATGAAAATGGAGTTTGGACTCACATGCAACAAGAGATGTAGGAAGTTATGTTCTCTCATTTTAAGAGAGTCTTTGTGGAAAATACCTTTCTGCCGGATGATGATCTAATTTGGGGGTCTGGAATCAGCATTATGGACCTTATCACAAAACAACTTCCACAAGAACAAAAATTGAATTTGGATGCAGAATACACAGTCGAAGTCAAAGTAGTAATTTTTAGTATGCCTCCATGGAAGGCACCGGGTCCAAATGGGTTTCCGGCTGGTTTTTATCAAAGGTATCGGAGCATTACTAAACAGAAATCTAATTCCTAACATCCTTTCGGTCTTGAATAATCAGAAATGATGGGATTCTTGGAATCAAACAAGTGTTGTGTTTATTCCAAAAAAGGAAATCCAGCTATGCCCTGAGATTTTCGCCCTATTAGTTTATGTAATGTACTTTACAATATTGTGGAGAAGATATTGGCTAATAGAATGAAAAGGTTCCTTGGTTCATTGATTGAAGAAAATCAAAATGGGTTTGTTCCAGGAAGATATAATGGTGAAAACATCCCGCTAGCGCATGAATTAATAGAGCATATTCGTCGTAGAACGGAAGGTAGTGTTAGCCTGGCAGCTCTTAAGTTAGACATGAGTAAGGCGTATGACAAGATTTCATGAGATTGCCTACGACAATGTCTGGAGAAAATGGACTTCCTCAAAAAGATGATTTAGACGATCATGAAATGTGTGTCAACTATTTCATACACAATCTCTTTCAATGGCAGGCAATCAAACTCATTTACACCAAAAAGGGGATTGCGCCAGGGATGTCCGCTTTCACTATACCTTTTCATTCTTTGTCAGCAAGCCTTTTCTGTGGCGATCAATAATTTGGATAGCAAAAGCAAGGGTTTTAGTATAAAACTAGCTCGGTCGGTGCCAAGAGTGTCACACCTCATGTACGCGGATGACTGTTTAATTTTTATGGAGATCAGGGACAAGAATGTGCGTAACTTTGCTGAAATTTTGAATCAATATGTAAGGTTATCAGGTCAGCGGGTGAACTTTGATAAATCAACATTGATGACAAGTCCTAACATATCAAAAAGTGATCAGGATTGGCTATCTTTGAGACTCCGGATACCAAATGGTGCATATACTGGAAAATACTTAGGTCTCAATTTGGATTTCATACAGAGAAAACATGTTCTTTTTGGAAGCATCATTGAAAGAATGAAGAAAAAGCTTCACACGTGGAGAAATAACTCTCTTTTGATGATGGGAAGAGTGACTCTTGCAAAACACTCGTTAGCGTCACTTCTTATTTACATGATGGGGGGTTTTTAAGCTTCCACGATCAATCTCAAAACAAATAGACTCTTTGATAGCTAGATTCATTTGGAAAGGAGACAAAGAGGGATGGAGTATTCACTGGAAAGCTTGGCCAGAAATCTGCAAGTCAAAGTTCAGAGGAGGATTGGGATTGAGATCA